CTGAAATAGCCATGTCTTAAGGGCGCGGCGGAAGGAAGGGAGATCAGGGATCACCCTGATCTCTGGGGGTAGTTCATTCCATAGGGTGGGAGCTCCCACCGAGAAGGCCCTCCCCCTGGGGGTCGCCAGCCGGCACTGTCTGGCTGACGGCACCCTGAGGAGACCCACTCTGTGGGAGCGTACTGGCCGATGGGAGGTAGTCTGAGGCAGAAGGCGGTCTCGAAGATATCCAGGTCCGATGCCATGGAGCGCTTTGAAGATGATAATCAACACCTTGAAGCGCACTCGGAAGGCCACCGGCAGCCAGTGCAGCTCGCGCAGTAACGGTGTCACATGGGAGCGACGAGTCCCTCCCAACACCGCCCGCGCGGCCGCATTCTGGACTAACTGGAGCCTCCGAGTGCTCCTCAAGGGGAGCCCCATGTAGAGAGCGTTACAGTAGTCCAGGCGGGAGGTGACAAGAGCGTGGGTGACTCTTGTCACCTCCCAGGTGTGTCCAACCCACAGCCCATGGGCCACAGGCAGCCCTGGACAGTTAGCAATGCAGCCCCAGAAGATCGTAAACTTTTAACATTCTTATGTGATTTTTAGCGATATTCACACACATGAACTATATTATATACTTTATATGCGGCCCAAGACAATTCCTCCTCACTAAATTTAGCCCAGGGAAGCCAAAAGATTGGACCCATGCAATACACCCTCAAAGCTGCTGATGGAGAAGGGAGAAACCAATGACCAAAAATTTTCATTTCTTTTTTTTTTCCTCCCTCCCTCTGGAACGGATTACATTGCGATTTTTAAAGCAAAACGCCAAGTTCCTAAATCAAGTTTCCCATTCTGCACTGAATTTAATTCTCAATATCCTTAGGCTATTTCTTACCGTAAATTCTGGCAGTGAGTCAGTACCTTCCCGCTTAGCCCGGTGTTGAGGGGCCGGTTGTTCGGTAGGAGGCTCACAATACAGGTGGTTCTTCGTGAGGGTCTTGACTGAGCAGACCCCAACTCCAATCATGGCTTTTACTTCATCTTTAGAAATGGCCAGATCCAGATTTTCTCCCTGGGGGGAACAGAGATTAGGACACTCTTGTGAAAAGGTACTCCACACCATGTCGATGGAGATTCTCAATTATCCAAGTCACGGTTGTCCCAGAGATACTTTTTCAAAAGGCAACTGGACTTTGTTTTTCCTTGAAAACATTTCGGTTCTCATCCGAGAAGCTTCTTCGGTTCTGACTGAATGGTGGAGACGGAAGGATTTAAAGAACTGAAAAGTTTCTTGGATGAGAAGAGAAACATCTTCAAGGAAAAAAGACAAGTTGCCTTTTGAAAAAGCACCTTTGGTTAGGGGGTCCCCAACAGCTCATCAACTCCTTCATGAAGTTTCAGATTGTTTGCTGACCTCCATTTATTATATGAAATAATTTAACAAATGCTACTTTACTTAATAGTACTGTGAATAATACTAATAACTGTCAGTCTATGACAGTCAGTGGACCCGGCAGCTGAGTCTGGGGAATCAGAGGAGGAGGAGGAGGGGCCTGGAGAGCCATCAGAGTCGGAGGAAGACTCTGATGAGCTCCAGGACTTACAATCTGATGAAGAGCCTGGCCCCTCCAATCGTGCTCAGGCTGAGACTCAGCTGTGCGGGGAAGCTGAGTCAGAGTCTGAGGACTCACAGCTGGGAGACATCATAGACGCTCGCAAACGCAGACAGGCAACAAGAGCAGGACAGAGAGAGGCAATGGGGCGACTCCAAGGGAGGAGGAGAAGGCATTGAGAAGCCACGCCTTGGGGCTGCATAATAAAAAGGGAAGGTGTGGGCGGTGCTGGTTGCTGAAGGCAACCGTTTGCAAAGGACTCAAGTTTCATGGAATCATGTTTTGTTTGCCTTGCTTGTGAACAATTCTCCATTTGAATCATGTTTTGTTTGCCTTGGACAGTTCTCCATTTGCATCGTGTTTTGTTTGCCTTTGCTTTTGGCACATTTTGCAGGTCTGTACCTAATTAATAAAAGGGGTTTGTTTTCCCTGCATTTCCAGCCTACTTGTTAAAAGAGGGGTTTGTCCTTGTGAGTTAACAAGGACTCACATAGGCTGGGACAGAACAATAACAAGAACATTGACCCCTTGCATTATTCCATCATTACAGTATTGTCTACTTTGAGGAACCCTGGTCTGTTCATTTCCAGTTTACAAATAAATAAGCAATTAAAAAGAAAAATAAAATAACCACTAGCTTACTAAGGGCAGGCAAGTTCCAGTTACATTTCTGTGCTGAGGGCAGAGAAGAGATTGAGAGTCTGGTGTCTCTGTGAATTCCAATTATTACCAAACTTGTTCTGTTCCATCATAGCTTATTACATTTTATAACCAGATTTGAACTCCATACAAAATACACTCTAATTCAAACCTGTTTGTTTTATGATTATTTTTTTCTGGCAGTTAAAACTTTTTCTGCATTAATCTTTCTTTTTCATATTCACACATTTCTCAAAGACTCGCTAAGAGCAAAAAAATTATGCATCCCCTGCCAGGTGCAGAATCCCACTTCATTTCCCAAATGTTATTCACTGTCATCCTTGTATCCATTAAACCAGACTTCTGTCAAACATTCCCAGGCTACATCAGCAAACTAAGCTCCATGCAGTGTTAGCATTTGTTCTTCCCACTTTTCCACTTGAATAAAGCTGTTTTTTTTTTCAAAGTTGGCAATTTTAAGACGAATGGCCTTCAATTTCCAGACTTCTCCAGCCAGCAAGTTTGAAAAACACAGGTATAAAGGAACAATAGTGGCACTCCTCCAGGCATCAGGCACAGATGCACCCCTCATGCACATATTACGTAAGTTTCTAACTCCCCATAAACGAACCACATCCATATTTTAATCACATCCATACTTCAATTCTTCTCTGGTTAATTCATCAGGTTTATGCAAGTAGAAGAGGTCAATAGTATCTTGGATTATTATCCCTAGGGGTTATACAGAACATCCTAGCCTGAGGCAGACTATTTGTAAAGCAGAAGGAATAATATTCTTCCTGCTTTACTAAAGCTCATCAGTGTTCAGTAAGATGTATTGGCTAAGGCCAGGCATAGCCGTATTCCAGCCACCATCAGCCGTAGAAATTAATAGCTGATTTTGAATTAACTCAGTCTGACATTTCTCTCTCAGGCTTGTAGCTGTGGGGGAAAAATGAGCAGGACAGAAGACTAGCTATATCACCATGAGCTCCTAGTAGAAACGTGCAATGTAAATTAATGAATGGATCAAATGAATATATAAATGCATGTACAGCTGATAAATAATCTATATAAATAAAAAATGTAAATGTTCATTTGTTCAAAATTTTAAATCTCCGAAAGTTCTTCACCGATTGCTTTGAAATTTTGACACAACGTTGCATTCGAATACGCGCATGTTTTTATATACCTATATTATATAGATGTCACACCTGTGACAGGTAAAAACATGCTTTTTTGAAAAACAGCGCCATCTGTTGGACGTAAAAGCAACACACGCTTTTACCAGACTGAGCCACAGCAACGCGTGGCTGGGTACAGCTAGTTATTTATATATAAATAATACTTTAAAAACTTGTATATACTTTAAAATAATTTGTTGTGCACCATCCAGACTCCTTCCCTAAGGGGCGGTTCAGAAATGAGTAAAAATAATAAAATACAGTACCCCGAGAATCTCAGCTGTAATTTTTGAAACAAAACCAAGGGAATGATGCAGGATAATCGCAGCCAATAGCCAAAGAAGAGACGCTGCCTCCACTTATGGAGAACAAGTTCTTCTGTTTACCTCCACAGAGATGATGCTTCCAGGTTTGTGACGGTAGGGTTTGGTGATATCGTCCGTATTGAGGGGCTTCAGGAAGGGGTCAACTTCGTAAGAAAAGCCAGTGGGATGGAAGGCATTGAAGTCAAAGCTGAGATTATCCAGGACAAACTCCAGTCTTACTTGAACGGAGTGGGACAATGGCTTGATTGCTGGTGTCTTGCAAAGTATGAGGTTGGAGGAGTTGACTTGACATGGCTCTTCAAACTAGGATCAGAGATGAAGGGGAAATGAATGAGTACAGTTAATTCTCCACTCTTCCAAAGCTACTGTTTTCAAGAAATTTCTAGTTCCAAGAAATTCCTAAAGTGGCTCTCCTCCATGCCCTTTTCCAAGGCCCCATTCCTAGACCCAAGTCTCCAAGCACGATAGGTAAGAACAGAGCTTAGAATTTTGGACTGAAAGCTGTAAGACACCAGTGAACCAGGGAAACTTTGAGTGTATATTTTGCTTTTCAGTCCAATTTATTTTATAGAGACCCTGGGGGAAAAAAATGGGATGGGGGGTTTGGGAGTCAGACGCATGTTCCACTGTTATGAAACCTTTACATGAAAATAAATTAGTAATTAATACAATTTGAAATAAATTGTGTAAAGGAAAAAAATTCACCTAAAATGCAGTAGTATAAAAAGGTATTGTTGATATATTTAAACAATGGGGAGGCCAGATTCACTTAACAACCATGCTACTAACTTAACAACTGCAGTGATTCACTTAACTGTGGGAAGGAAGATCATAAAATGGGGCAAAACTCACAACTGTCTGGCTTAAAAACAGAAATTTTGGGCTCTATTGTGATCGTACGTTGAGGACTACTTGTAATCGGTTCCACTGTCAAACTCTTCTTACTGTTTGGGAAGTTGTTTCTAACACTCAATTAGAATTTGCCCTCCTGTAATTTAAACTCATGCTTTTTATAGTCTGAATAAATGGGGGACTGGTCTTTACCATTTGGGTCATCTCAAGAATAGAACATGGCTCTTTTCCCCATCAGCTGAAGCCAAATGGCTCTGGCTGTTGGAACAATATCCAAACTTTTGAACTGTCTTCAATCCACCTGATTCTTCTTGGCTCTGAAGAGAGCAGAACATGGTTCTATTCTCCAGCTGGGATCCTTCTAGAATTAACTTGAAACAGGCTAAGAGAGAGATTTTTTTACCTCACTTACTTGCTGGACACTGCAGAGAGCATTCTCTCGACATTCTGTTTCTGGAATAATCCTACGCCATCTTCCCGCTCCCCGACGTCGGCGCTCCAAGGGTGAAACTGTGACACGGACCTTTGGCCACTGCACGACATCGAGGTTATGCCCACGCACTCTTATCTCTCGCCCACCACTGAAATAATGCATACAGATTTGTACAAACATGGATGGTTTAGTTTTGGTATTTGAAGTGTTGCGATTGTTTCATTAAGGCAGGGGTGGGCAACTGTGGCCCCTTCACGGGCTGTGGACTTCAACTCCCAGAATTCCTGAGCCAGCCATTCATTCATACTGGTTCAGGAATGCTGGGAGTTGAAGTCCACAGGTTCTAAGGGGCCATAATTGCCCACCTCTGCATTAAGGTAACGAAAGACAATCCCAGGGTGATTCTTTGCAGCCTCATAGATCCTATCACATTTGCCTCATCAGGCAACGTAGAACAGGAGATGGCAACTTGATACTGTCCAAATGGTTCAGAGTACAATTCATGGCCACTCAACCCCTTGTCTGGGGCCAATAAGAGCAGTATTGAAACAGATTGTGGGTTAGTAACAGATTGTGTCCCACTGATCTAACAACAACAACAGACTTGGAAAAGACCTTGGAGGTCTTCTAGTCCAACCCCCTGCTCAAGGAGGAGACCCTATACCATTTCAGACAAATGGTTGTCCAGTCTTTTCTTAAAAACATCCAGTGTTGGAGCATCCACAACTTCTGAAGGCAAGATGTTCCATTGATTAATTGTTCTAGAGTTTGAATTTGCATATAGAGTTTTGAATTCACAATTCAATGGACCAATAATCTAAGAAAGATTAAGGCAGCCTCCTATACTTCTATTCTAATAACCTTATTGTATTCCACATTCTTATTCCACGATTTAAGGGAAATCACCTGAAAATAGCCAAAACATAACCACTATGAAACAACTGTGATGTCCAACAGCAGATGTTCACAGAGTTGTCTGCCTGCCTGTGCAATTATTGGTGCTTTGTGGAGAAAATATGTGGGTTCACTGGATGATCATCACTATCCTGAAGTGGTCGGAATGCTAAATTAAGAGCAGTGGAAACTCTTTTTCAATCATGCTATCCAAAGGTCCATCTTGTTGGCAATAGGACACAACTCTGGCAACTGTAGGTACATTGGCTGAAAGAATTTCTCCGTCTGACTCCCAAGAACTGCTACTGGTTGGAGAATTTGATCTGATCTGGGGAATTGTAATAGGGGATACAAAACCTACACTGGCTGCTTTCTCCTCAGGAAGACTAACTAGTTTTTGATACAGATTAGCTTCTCCTTTATGTGGACCAGAACATCATCATCTAGAGATTTGGAAGACCGCTACATCTGATAGTCATCAGCAGCATGGAACCTGTAGGCATGATGGCACCCATGCTCTTCTTCAAATGGTATCTGTTGGATCTCAACATTAAATGTATATATAAAATTGGAAAATGACTGAAAACACATTAGATTTGTCCCCACTGTCTTCTGAGATTTTGTTTTAGTTTTAATTATTATTTTATGTTGGCCTCTATACCAGGAGAACTACTAGAGTAGTTCTCAGGATGCACCAGTGATCTCCACACCGCAGGTTCTGAAACATCAATAGATAGCATGACAGAAACCTGCAGGTTATTTAATCCTTAAATGTTAAAAATACCTCAGCATAAGATAGAATAGGGATCTGCCCCTCTTTAGACACCACTGGACTCCTAAAATTATCAATCCTAGTCAACCATGAGCAGAAGGGACAGGATTTCCAACCACAAAGCCTCATCTCAGATCTGTCCTATTTGTTGTTACCTCTGGAAGCTCTTGGCTGGTTCTGCATAGGTGATATTGGGATCAAGGGTGTATTTGAAGAAGGAATGTTCCAGCCTCCGTTCTTGATCCCCGTATTTGACTGTGACGGAAAACTCTGTAGACACATTACTGGCGCTTGTCTGGCACAGCAACTCATGCTCCTGCATCTCAGAATGACTTCAGAGGAAAGGGAAAGCAAGAGAAACATATAAACTTACTCTAGAAAATATTACAGTTTAGCAACAGCGAAAAACAATGGAACTTCACTGAAAAGGACAATTTAAAAGCCACATCGTATTTGTGGGCAAAGCTGGGCACTTTGTGGCCTACTGTAAAATATCTTCCAGGTTTCCAGGAAGAGAGGGAGGTGAGAAGACAGACTTGCCTTTTCTCCTCAACCCATAAATTGTAAGAACATTCCTAGATTCTACCTTGCCATAAAAATGAATCCCATCTAAATGCATAGCCAGTGTGTAATGAAAGAGAAGGAGCTACAAGAGACCATAGATATATGCTGCCTCCAGAGAAACCCTGATTCTTTTCCCTGATTTAGTTAAACATTAAAAACATTTTCATGAGATGTTCCTGAGTCTTCAGTTATATATTTTTTTATTATAGATAAAAGCTTAGATTCTGGAGTTTTGTTCTTAGGGAGATATAAAGGAAAACAATGCGAAAAGCATTTTGTCATAATAAACAATAATTAGTATAAAGCAGGGGTAGGCAACCTTGGCTCTTTTATGACTCATGGACTTCAACTCCCAGAATTCCTGAGCCAGCATGGCTCAGCTTGGAAACCTCTCCCTTTCCCCTCAGCATGGCTGGCTCAGGAATTCTGGGAGTTGAAGTCCACGAATCATAAAAGAGCCAAGGTTGCCTACCCCTGGTATAAAGCAAATCTTCTCCATCCTTTCCCATGTTCTGTCTAATGGCACTGGGAGGCCACAAAACTCTTGTTTTTAATTTGATAACCATTTTGTTTTATTAATGTTTGAAACAATTAATAGTGCATTCCTAATCCTGTCTATTCAGAATTATTTCCTTGGAATTGCGAAGGATTTATTCCCAACTATCTACAGGATTACAACTTAAAACAGATTTAATAGGTTTTGATTGATGGATTCCTCCTATCCCAAATATATGACATACATCATAACAAAACTTTTGAATATAAACCCAGTAAGAATGGGACTGAATAGGATCTCTGTCAAATCTCCTTCTTAAAAGTGTAGGATAGAGATATGGGAAGAAAGATATTCAGTTCTTATCTGAATAAGACTAGGTCTAATTTTGTGTCTTTTAACCAATATATGTGTAAAAAATAAATTATGCTTTAAAAAAAGCATAAAGTAAGAGCAAGTCTATAGAAAACGCAAAAAAATCATGAGAATAATGCATTGGGGAAATTGCTGGCAAAATATATAGTATCAGACCAACGAAAAAGAAAATGGGAAAGATACACGAATGGAAAACTGAAAACTCAGAAACTGGATTAATACGTTTGCAAAAATGAGGTCAAAACCCTCCAATCTTCCAGAAGGCAGGCAGATTAGAGATTCAAGTGCTCCTGGTCTTTCATTTAAGGGGACAAAGGTGGATGAGGATCTTCAACCAAACATAAAAAGCAGGAATTTCTGCAGCCCCCCCACCCCGCAAAGTGAATTCCAACCCCATAGCAAAAGTTGTCTTTGATCGTGTATGTCAGCAGTATATCAATCTCTGCATGTCCATATAATTGTACGTGTACATGGGGTGGAATAGCTGGATTCCAACAAACCACATCTCAGACCGAGCCATGTTCTTACAACCTCCGACTAGAAGCAAATCTGGAAAAAGTTGCTACTGCCAGCCCCACTTTCTTACATGTAGCAAGCGAAGTGTCCCACCCAAATGCTGATTCTTCTGGGATTTCCAGTCAGTAGCTTGGATCCGGTCAGCGTGAGGCTGGTTCCTCCTGCTTTGGGGCCTCGAACTGGAGAAATGAATTTCAACTCTGGATTCTGCAGAGAAGAGTGGGAGAAGAATGGCTGTATCACAAGATGCCCAGGCAAAGGTGCTTGGGGAGTGAGGGTGCTAGTCCTCTTCAAACCATCAGTGCATTGAATAACAGGGTCCTCTAAATTGCCGAGGGTGACCTGTGTTGCTCCAGAGCCAATTTTTGCTCAGAAAACCAAATTCTTTCCACCCAGTTCACACTGCTCTTCAGGAAAAAGATTGATGAGTAAAATCCCCTGGGATGATACAAAACAATCAGGCTGCCAGGACTGTGTATAACCCCGTTCACTGAACCAGGCTCCATGTGAAAGCATCAAGAGGTGAGAGGTGAAGTGGGAACTTATGGTCCTCTGAACCAGGGCTTTTCAACCTTTTCACCCATTGTGCCACTTTTAGGATATGGTAACATCCGAGTAACACCAGTCGCCTAGCAAGGTGTCAAAAACTTGATGACCAAAAAAAGAAAAAAAAAGTGATAAAGTATAGGTAGTCCTCGACTTACAACAGTTCACTTAGTGACTGTTCGAAGTTACAATGGCACTGAAAAAAGTGCCCCCCAAGCCACAGCCGAGCAAGACACCTGCCTGCCTGCCCGGCGGCGCTCTTCCTCCTGTCCAAGGTTTTCATTGTTGTGAGCATTTCTGTTGAGGATTGGCAGCGGGGGGTGGGGGGTGGGGGTGTTTGGCTTTTATTCCCCCCCCCCGCTGGGTAGTGCAGCAGGTTTTGGTCACTTCACATGACCCTGGGACACTGTGACCGTCATAAATATGAATCAGTTGCCATTCAGCTCATTCCCCTCTCCCGGTACCACTTTTCTAGGATGGTCGCGTACCACCTGCCAGGTGCCAATGTACCACAGGTGGTACCCGTACCACTGGTTGAAAAGCCCTGCTCTGAACGATCTAGCACTCCAATTTCTACCAGTCCTACCCAGCATAGCAGCAGGTACTTCTCAAATTACAACCATTGGTTTAGTAACTGTTTGAAGTTACAGCACTGAACGAAGCGACCTACAACCGTTCGTTGCACCTACAACTATTGCAACATCCCCATGCTCACAAGATCAGAATTCGGGCACTTGGGCAACTGGTAGGTAAGTATAACGGTTGCAGCGCCCTCGGGTCACGTGATCACCGTGACCTTCTCCCCAGCTGCTTTCTGACAAGCAAAGTCCTTGGGGGAAGCTGGACTCTCTTAATGACCGCGTGATTCACTTAACGACTGCAGTGATTCATCTAACAACCGTGGCAAAAAAAAAGGTTGTGAAACTGGGTGCAACTCACATAACGACCGATTTGCTTAGCAACAGAAATTCTGGTCCCAATTGTGATCCGTAAGTCAAGGATCAGCTGCTCTCAGTGATGATGGGAGTTACTGGGTCCCCACATCCCCACATTACTGGATCAGTTGATAGGAAATGATTTTTATCTCTGGTAGATCTTATTTTCGGTTCTAATTTACATGAAAGCTGGGACATGACTGTTGAAGTAAAGACAAGGAAAGCCCGAACAGCATTCTTCAAAATGAAAAAGGTCTTCTGCAGTCATGACATAAGTCTAAGACTGAAAATCAGGCTTGTCAGATGCTATATTTTTTCTATCCTGCTCTATGGAGTAGAGAGTTGGTCTCTGACAGAAGGCCACCTGAAGAGACCAGAAGCATTTGAAATGTGGATTTACAGGCGGCTGTTACGTATAAGCTGGGTTGACAAGATCAGAAATGAGTAGGTGATAAGCCGCCTGGGAAAGCCAAGGGAAATCACCAAAAGAATTAAAAAATGAAAATTAGAATATTTCGGACATGCGATGCGACACCCAGAAAAATACGGCATACTCCATTTAATCCTCCAGGGAAAGATTGAAGGCAAACGAGGTCCAGGCAGAAGAAGAACATTGTTGCTTCAAAATCTAAGGGGCTGGTTTGGACAAAACTCAGCAGCACTTTTTCGTGCGGCTGCTGATAAAAACAGGATGGCCAACATGATCGCCAACGTCCGATAACGGATATGGCACAAGAAGAAGAAGAAGAAGAAGATCTTATTTAGAAGCACAAGAGTGTTTTAGCACTACCTGCACACATTGTTGCCTTGTTGATGTACCTGTTGTGGTTCACACAGCTACATGTTTCTGGCTTGCACAGATTGTAAGACATTGCACGTACTAATCAAGGAATACAGGCTTTCCTTGACTTTGAGACCACACCTGAGCCCAAAATTTCTGTTGCTAAGCGAGACAGTTGTTAAGTGAGTTTTGCCCCATTTTACGATCTTTGTTGCCACAGTTGTTAAGTGGATCCCTTCAGCTGTGATTCACTTAATCATGTGTTAGCAACACGATTCATAAATGAACCTGGCTTCCCCATTAACTTTGCTTGTCAGAACGTCGCAAAAGGGGATCGCATGAGCCCCCGGGACACACTGCAATTGTCGTAAATATGAATTTTCATCACGTGGCCATGGGGATGCTGCAAGGGTCGTAAGTGTGAAAAATGGTTGTAAGTCACTTTTTTCCAGGCCACTTAACTCCCCAACTACTCTGGCTAGATTACGAGTAAGAATAAAACATCATAAAACACAAAGAAAAAATCGTGAGCAACTCCTAAAACAATCTACAACCAAAAAGAAACCCGTCTAATGAGGGTCCATGGAGATTCTCAGCCATCCCGGTCATGACTGTCCCAAAGGTGCTTTTTCAAGGGGCATCTGGACTTCAAGGAAAAAAAAAGGAAGTCCAGTTGCCTCTTGAAAAAGCATCTTTGGGGCAGCCATCTAATAAGGCTCACCCATTTTTCTGTCCCTCTGGAACTGAGTGCAACAAATGAAAAAGACTTTTTTTTTTGTTTGATGTGTGAAGGTGTTCCATCCCAACAGGTGAACCTGACTGGGTGGAGCACCTATGCCAGTGGTGGCAAACCTATGGCACGTGTACCAGAGGCGGCACTCAGAGCCCTCTCTGTGGGCACACAGGCCATTGCCCCAGCCCCGCCTCCCTCCACAGCCCCCCCGAGAGTCGCCCCCGGGCACGGCCCGCATGGAGCAGCGCAGCCAAGAACATTGCAGCCAGGCAGCAGGGACAAGACTCCGCCTTCGTGCCCTGACACGTGCAGATACTGCTAGGTGCGGGTGGAGGGTGTGGCTGCCATGGCACTACAGAGCCATCTGGGTGATCTGCGGCGGGCCATGGAGAGTGGTGAGTGGCCCTGTGAGTGCGGGGGCGGAGCAGGGGGTGGAGTGGGGGTGGAGCAGGGGCAGGTGGCGGAGCAGGTGGGCGGGCCAGGGGGGCGGGCCGGTTTTTGGGCACTCGGTCTCTAAAAGGTTCGCCATTACTGACCTATGCACATAGGCAATTGTTTTCCATGTCCCATTTGTTAATAACTAGTGGTATACAGTATAGGCTAGTTACGGCTGCTGATTCTACACACATAAATAGGATATGTCCCCGTTAGATGAGAGTTTTCTAACCCTTGCAAATCTATCGATAGAAGAAAATAATTGTAGTTCAGGGTTGAACTGTGTGTGTGTGTGTGTGTGTGTGTGTCCTTGGTGCTCTCTGAGCTTGGCTGTTCTCTGGCGAAAGTTTCATTACCAAACTAGATCACAGCATTAGTGAGCTCTGATGATATTATCTAGTTTGGTAATGAAACATCTGCAAGAAAACAACCGAGCACCAAGGACCTCTTGCAAATGTCCTGGGATTAACTCCATGAATGACACCCGATGCATTATTTAGGGCTTCAACTGAGGATGGGTGCCTTCCGCTTTTCCTGGAAGTCACCCGTCCTCTTGTCCAATCTCCCCTTGAGCTGTAGACTTATTTTACCTGATAGGTGAATACATGAGCAGAGATGCCTTGCCCACCTCCAGGGACTTCCACGACCACATGCCCGGACCTCTCTGTGCCGCTTCTGCCCGTGGTGCATACGATACTGCAGGACAAGGGCAGAAGAGAGGATGGAGAAGAATCCCCCACCAAGGTGCACCACATGGGCTGCTCTAAACCTGAGTTAATGAGAGGGGGGGGCACTTTTAGCTCCTGGCCTGGTGGGGGAGGAGACGTCACCCACCTGAAGACTTATCCTGTCGAGCAAATGACTTTCCTCCACAGTCTGTGACCTGGATCACTTTCTTGAGCCAAGAGCCTGGCAAATACACCTTTTGGGCAACGCAGGAAACTCTGTGTGAACGTGCGTGTTCGTGATGACCAAATTCACAGCGTAAGGATGAGCGGACTCTGGATACCTTTCAATGCCTTGATCCAGTATACAGCATTTGGTCACCCGTCTTTCAGGTGAGAAATCCCTTTCGGGGTTCAACTGTGAGATTTGCTTCGTCCGATTCCCTAGTTTTCGATTATACGGGATCTCTCAAAGCACAGCTTTGTCAGAGACATCAGTCAGCAAAGTGGTGACCTATCCATTGAAGATGATTCTCCTATGTTATTTGCAGGTGGGTTTGGTTACAGAAAATATCCAGAATCAGGGTAGATGGCCATTTAGGTCTTTATTCTTCTAGATTGGCATTTCTGACGGGACTTCGATTCAACTTCAACTCTCTGCTAGCTGGGGAATCCTGGGAGTTGAAATTGGCCCATCTTAAAGTGGCCATGGTTGAGAAACACTGATCTACAGTAGATGTTGCTGGAGTTCAATTGTACAATCTACCAACAGCTGGGGAACTATGGGTTCCCTACCCCAGTGATCAACCTTTCCTTCTTTGTCCCCACAGAAGCAAATAGCAGCCACAATCGACGTTTTTTCCCCTCCTGCTTTTATGAATATTATCCCACAAGTGAGTTCATGGACAAAACAGCTTAAATGGCAGAAGCACCAAGTTTGAACTTGTCCTATTGACTTGGGACAAAGAAAACCCCAGAGTCAAGTAGCTGTCCCACCTTCATTGCTTTACCATTCCCAGTACCTTATTAAAATAGGAATCAGGGAAAGGTGTCCAATAGGGCAACCGGTATTTTTTTTTATTGGGAGTTGATGTAACTTTGATTTGCTTGCATCTGCTAGGTTTGGTTGGACTGGTAGGTTTCTGTGAAGATGGGTCTTAAACTTCATGCTAATCTACCAGAGCTTCAGATTTCAGCCTGTCACTAGCAGAGAGTCTTTCTCCTGTCAATAAAGCCGATCCCATGAATTCCAGTAGCCCGTGACAACCCTACTCAACCCTCATCAGTTGGACTAAAGAAACTGGTGAGAAGTTAAGATAGTGCTACTGCTGATGGAAAGGCCACCATCTGCTTAAGGGAGAAGGACAGAAATGTTCACCCGCTACATAGCTATGCTGTGGAGGAGTGGCATTCTTATTGCCGTGAGCCCGTTGGATAGGCGCTTGCTTACCTGCTGGAGATTTCATACACCAGAGCATCAACTTCACAGGGGATTCCTGCAACTGTGACAGTCTCTGCAATATCTTGATGCTTCTGCCCAAGGTTTGAACCCGTGATGGTGATTCTGGTTCCACCTTCAACCAAACCAGTTAGGGGGTACACCTGATAACCACAGGAATATATTTTTTTTATTTTTTTACTTTATTTATTCAATTTCTATAGCCGCCCGTCTAAGTCAATGACTCTGGGTGGCTTACAATTCAAAAAAATAGATTACGATTAAAACACTAGCAACATTTTAAAACAATGAAGAACAATAAAAACACCCCAAATCAACATACGTAGCAGCCAAGAAACTTGCAGCTGAGATATATTATCTGATTACTTGAAAACTACACTAAATTGGTGAGCATGATGGCTTATCTAATGCACTATACACTAGAAACAGACCAATAATGATCTTCAGTCTTTATACTTCCTTGCTGATGGGACACACCTAATATTGGAGGAAGAGTTTCTTACGGCATAAACAAGATGGAAAGCCAATAGGGTAATGGCCTAGGGGTGAAGACACTTGCCTCCCACTCAGAAGGTTGCAAGTTTAATCCTAGGTAGCAGCAGATATTTCTCTCCTCACACTCAAAGAACAAATATCTACTGTGAACTCCACATAGGCGTCAGGAAGGGCATATGGCCAGTTAATGCTCAGCTTCATCCAGTTGCCCTGACTCTGCCCTGAATTAAGGGACTACAGGGTCATAAAAAGAAAAAGAAAAACAAGATGTAAGGCAGGGATTTCCAGATGTGTCCTCTAGTCCAGGGGTAAGCAACCTTGGCTCTTTTATGACTCGTGGACTTCAACTCCCAGAATTCCTGAGCCAGCATGGCTCAGCTTGGAAACCTCTCCCTTTCCCCTCAGCATGGCTGGCTCAGGAATTCTGGGAGTTGAAGTCCACGAGTCATAAAAGAGCCAAGGTTGCCTACCCCTGCTCTAGTCCATTAATTAGAATGCTATTCAGATTTCACCAGATGAACTCGCTATTATGGGATAGGTAGCTTGATTCTGACTTTGCTAGCAAAACTGGTCGCTGCATCCTAAATTTTAAACTCATGGAATGAAGGATGGCTAGACTCAGCATTCAATTTTCTATTCTTGCACCCCGGCCCCACATTGTTGCCAAATTCTGATGCATGACATTCAAGGGACACAATTTGCGTGTTTCTAGTTCCCAGAGGCAACCATATGAGTGAGTTGCAGCAAAAACAACAAACACTTCAAAATGCCATAAAACTCTTTTTTGTTTTTGCTGCCATTGACTATCACGGTTGGAAATGGTGAATATGATAGCCTGGAAGTTGTGGTCTAGACAGCATGGCTTCCTTTGATGAAGGGAGTGGAATCCATGTTGTCACCATGGATTCCTTGTGTCTGAGGAGGTCTTTCTGCCTGCACCATGACATGTGGACTGTCATCTTGTAGTAATTCACAAGTCAGTCTTCTTTATAGTGGCACAGACCTATTGTAATTCTCTCTTCAGGGGAATCTGTTGTGAGAACTTCTAATGAACTTTCTCTATTCATCCTTACGTGTTTCAAGATTTAGTTTTCTTCCTGGCCCCATCCCTTCATAACGCACGTGAGTTGTTTATTGTTTTTTTATATGTTTTTGTAAATTTATCAGTTGTGTCTTAATCCTTTTTATGCCTATCTCTGAAATGTTTAAACAGAAAGCAATCTACACACATATTAATCTGTTTACCTTTTAAGGCACTATAAAAATCTCTGTTGTTTTGGGTTTTGTTCACTGTTGATTTTCTTCTGATCTTATCAAAGCCTTTAAACATGTCTGCTTAATGTTCTCTGATTTTCTGCTTTTGCTTTATCACCTTTTTTCATCTTTCCATATCCCCCTGTTTGTTTTCATTGCTAGTACACGTTTCTCTTTTAAATCTATTTTTCTTCTTTTCTGTATATGTTGTTTTCCGGGATAATTGACCTCCAAGGTCCCTTCCAACTTTATTATTATTATTATTATTATTATTATTATTATTATTATTATTATTATTATTATTATTATTATTATTATTATTATTATTATTATTATTATTATTATTATTATTATCTCTTCCATCTTCTTTAAAAACCACTTCCTCAGTGAAGCCGTTCTTTAAATTTCAGTATAATATTGATTTCTCTTGTCAAGGTCAAGTCTGTGGAAAAGCTTGTGAACGTGAAGGGGGAGCTATGAACATTATTCTCTGATCCATTGTCTTACAGATACTTATCAAGATAGCTCGTGTAAATAAGACTCAGTCCCTTCCGATATACATTTTATGTATTTTTCAGAACAAAGCAACGCTCATGAATTATATATATACGAGGCTCAATTTTTAGAGTACAAAAACTATCCTGTTATATTACCCTTCAGATAGAGACTTACGGCTTCATTTGATCTTAATGGTCTAACTGTGTAGCCAAATGCAATTGCTCCAAAAGGACGCGCTTCCTGCCTGCAATCTCTATGTGAGATTGAACACACGGGCAGATCGAAAGCCAACATGCCTTTGCCTTTCTCTCTTTAGCAGAAAGCTGGAGACAGAATCAGGTTTTTTTCTTTTTTTTCCCCACCTGCACACCCTTCAGAGCCTGCTGCTCCGGCTGAATGAAGAGGCACATCTCTTAACTTCCTGTCTTCAAATCCTACCAGCATTGTATTCGTTATTTTATGCTGTGATACAATTACAACTATTACAAGCTGCTCTGTGTTGTGCGTAAACAACAGAAAAGTCCCAGATCTTTCTATTGTTGAGGAGGTTCAGAACTTTAGTGAGGTGCAGAATCAACGTAGCCTGCTGGAAACAAATGGAAACCTCTACTATTCCTTCTTTCTCCAAAGGAAGCTCATGCTTCCTAGGACGAGAAGCTCTTCAGTTGCTATATGGCAGTGGTGGCGAACCTATGGCACGCGTGCCAGAGGCGGCATGCAGAGCCCTCTCTGTGGGCACACGCCATCGCCCCAGCACATGTGGTCTCTAAAAGTTCGCCATCACTGGCCTAAGGCCAGCCAGCCTGGAGCCGCCATTGGGGAGCCCACCATCCCACCCACCAGAGACCCCTTGGATCTCTCTCAATCCTGCCCGGCTCCCACAGGTGTCCCTCCCCATAAGCAACATCGAGGTGGCCACGCTCACCCTGGCTATGCCCACCCAATCTGCCATGACTACTGCAGCCACACCCATCCAGTCTGCCAAGCCCACTGTAGCTGCGCCCGCCGAGTGGGCCATACCCACCCGGCCACCCAGCGATACATAAGTGGGTTTTGGGTTGCAGTTTGGGCTAGTTCCCATATAGCAGTGATGGCAAACCTTTTAGAGGCCAAAAGGTTTGCCATCACTGCTATATGGGAACTAGCCATTATCTTCACCAGCATTCTTACAAGCATTCTACATTCCTGTGAATTTTTCCACCAAGAATCTGGTTTCCGTCACACCGGGAGAGTTACTCACTGCATGAATCAGTGGGGCCGGGCAGGTGTCTGCAACCTCTTCTTTGCAGGAGTCTTGGAATAGGCAGCTAGGCTGCTCTCCTCCACACCAGACGCAGCTGTACTTGGCATCAGCGGTTTGGCAACGGCTGCAATCTAAGTGTCCCACCGAGCAGTTGTATAAGGTCACTGAAGAGAAAGAGACACATTGAGATGGGCATTAGTAGGGTCCATACAGCAATT